GGAAAGAGAAGGAAAAAAATAGGAAAAATATTGTCAATTAGAATGTCTGTGCTAAATTGGGCAGATAGAGTGGGCTATAAATACCCTGGTGCTTAGCTTTTTATGTCATTAGGGTGTGGAATGTAGCCGCCCATCCAGGGAAGGTCTTTGTTCACATCTTGATTACAGGTGTCAGTCTTGTAAATGAAACCAAGTTCTGCAGCTTCTCTCTCAAGCTCGTTTTTGAAATTGTTTTGTAAAATATAGTCACTGTGACGGGGCGCTTCCGCCCCGCACTCAGGGCGCTCGGGGGGACGTCGGGCGGACACACCGGGGGGCGGGGAGCCCGGACAGGCCCAACACATTGGGCTGCGCGGACGCACCAGGACCCGGCGCAGGGAGCGCCGGGAGGCAAAGGGCGCCGACAGACAAGGCCCAGGAGGGAGGGGCCAGGGAGGCGCGGGCTGATGAGGTCACGGGGGAAGGGAGGCTAAGGAGCGTCGCAGAGGAAATGACGGACAGGGGGAGCGGAGCCGGCGGGGGATTTAAACCTGGGGCCGGCACGACAAAGGGGGAGGAGGTGAACGGAGCAGCGGGAAGGGAGAAGAAGGGAGAGGTGAGACGGGACAACGCGGGAGAGGCGGGCCGGGAGGCCTGGTGGAGTAGGAAGCGGCCCAGGGCAGGGTCGTGGAGCCCGTGAGCGGGTGTGTTTTGGGGCATTTCCCCCATCCGCTAGGGAGGGACCGTGGGTCCCTGCCTTTAGGGCCCTGGGCCGGGGTTCAGAGAGGGGGCGGGCCCGAACCCCCCTACTCCGCTGACCGACGGATCCAGTGCAGGTGAAGGCGCAAGCAAGCGCAATAAAGGGCCATCGGCCGTGTTGTTGACTCCCTGTTGTTGACTCTCTGTGGCAGACTAGCTTACAGTCACTTTCAGATCCACTCACTAATGGCTCTAAAAGTGACTATGCTATTGCTATTTATTTGTACCCTGGTCCTGTTACTCCATTCATTCTGTAGAAGTGGGTTGTACCCACAAAAGCTCATGATACCATCTACATTTTTGTTAGTCTCTAAGGTGCTGCAGAACTATTTCTTGTTTTTTCAGTTGCAGACTAGTATGGCTCCCTTCTGAGACTTTTAAACATGTTTTAACTATTGGTTCTATATATTATCATCTCTGTGGTTGAGTTCCTTAAAAGCCACACACATGCCTTTTTTTTTCTCTCGGTTTCTACACATCGGTAGAGCATGCTACAATCATGTTTAGAGCAGGAAAAGGGAAAACATTTGACAGTCAAAAGAATTTGTGACACTATGAGGTCTGCTCCTGCAGATGCTGTTTTGACTTTGAAAATTAACTATAATGTTATAAAGAGAACCTTATTAGACATAGGCACTTCAAATTCCAAAAAACGATATGCAAAAACTAAAGCAAAATCCTTAGAAAAATTTGAAAATATTGCTATTGTTACTATTTTGTGGAACTATTTACTTCAAATAATTAATGTTGTCAGCAAATTACTGCAAAAAATTTATACAAATTTATTGAATGCTGCACAATTATTAGCTTCGGTTACAAGTTTTGTCATGGACATTTGAAATGATTATAGATCCAAGGAAGCGACATGTTCACATTACAAGAAAATATAGGTTCCTCTGAGATATATGATGAGAAGCATAAAAAAACAGGAAGCTATTTTTTGTTGCAACTAGAGACAATGAAATCAATTTGATAAGAAAGAGAAGATCATCATTGAGACCATCAGTATTATGTGTGACACAATAATAGTGCAATTGCAGAGTGGAGGTAACTCTCTAAAGAAAAGTGTTCATTTATTTTGTGTGTTTTTTGACAGAAATAAAGATGAAGATGCTAAAAACCACTACAGTGAGAAATTAAGTGAATTCTCCCAAGAAGACATAGACACAAATGTTTTGAAAGTGAATAGAAACATTTCATTCATTTTATCAGAAATGATGAGATCTGTGCTTCGAGATCACCAATTGATTTGTATAGACTTGTACATAAGGGTTTGCGGGGAACATTTCCAAATGTAGAAACTATTCTGAAAATATATTTTACTAATACCTGTCACAAATGCTTCCGACGAACATTTTTTTCTGTATTGAAATGAATTTAAAATTATTTACAAAATATGAGTCAGAAACATTTGACAGTTGAGCAAGATTGACAACTGAAAGTGTTTTTTTTACAAAATATTACTTATGAGGACTTAATTGACAATTTTATAAAGAAAAAGTGTAGAAGGAAAGCTATCTGAATAATTTTTTTTTCAAATTGAATAAGTTTTTTCAGGAGAAGTTAACTTTTATTTTTCCATTCATGTGTCATCTATACATTTTATTTTTACTCTTTTTTCGCATTAGCTTAATTCAAATTCAAGCTTTCATCTAGACCAGAAGTTATCAAACTGTTCTCTGAGAACTCTGTTCAGGTGGACTGAGGAAAAGTTACGATGTGTTTTTTTTAAATAAAGTGCTCTTACCCAAAGCACTTTACAATAGTTAGCTAATGGTACAAACAATACTTGGAAAGATCATTAAGTGGTCCACCAAGACCCTCAGCAGTTTTCAGGTGGTCTGTGGAAAAAAAAGTAAGACTACAAAAACAATCAAGTACCTCACTTCATTTACTTCTTACTACTTATAATATAGGAGGTGGATGAAGAAAAAAGAATGAAAAATTTGAGGGACAGGAAGAGGGAATGTTTTTTTTCTTGATGGGGTCTCCAGGAGGACCCGAAAAATGAAGCTGAGTGTAGGACCTCGCTAATTCTAAATCTGCCACTACTTTGGAATATAACTCTTGTTGATTAGAAGACCCTGGAATAATGGAACCTATCCACAGAGTGCTCCTGTTCTCTCCTAATTGCAGTATTTAATACACAGCTGATTAGAATGTTGACTGTTCTACTTCCACCACCTGCATTTGTTCCTTATTAGTGGAAATTTTTCAGTCTAGCCTGGACACAACATTAGTAAACATACTATAGGAAAGAAACCTTCATTGGCAGGAAGTCTGATGAGGGGATTGTGTCTACGTTAATCACAAATTCCTAGAAGTGGAGTTGCAGTGAATTCAGCTTGAGAATATGTTTGAAATTATAGTGGTTAAAAAGGCTAATTCTTTTCCAGGGATGAAAGATTAATAATTAGTCTCCTGTCTTTCTGAGCCATGTCTACTGCTGAAGTTTTTATTATATGTACTGCTAATTGAGGAGTAAAAGGAGCAGACAGTCTCTCCCTCTTCTCTCAGCCCTCATACATGCCTTTACAGCTGTAAACCTTGAGTAATATTTGCTGTTTGCTGACATGAAAAGTCAGTCAATGGGAGCTGTGCTTGAATATATAACATGCCCTACATTGCTAAGTACAATGTATTATGAAAATTCAAATTCCTAGGCAATTCAGGTTGAGCAATCAAAATGAATGGCTACTTTGGACCTTAATCTCTTTGTCCTCGGCTGCCCATATATAATATGGGGTTAGTACCTCCTAAGCTCTCACTGGTTGTATGAAAGTTAATTAATATTTGTGAAGCAGTTGGATGGTATATAGGCATAGAAATGCCCTTGAGGAAATTTAATAATTCTGTCTTCAGAGCAGGGTTTGAATAGTGTGCAGTAACTACAGCCAAGGGCAATCCATGGAACAATGCGAAGAGAAAGAAATACTGAATGGTTCACATGAAGTTAGCAGTGTTCATTCTGTGCACTGAAGAGGTAGGGGTTCTGTATCAAAAACAGTATGGAATCATGTTATGAAAGACTATCTCAAAATGGATGCACAGAAAGGGACCAAATTAAGGCTGCACAGACAACCTTAATTCTGGCATTTACTAACTTTGGAGGGCTTGACTCTGCAACCTTAATTTCTTGTAACATAGCTTTTTGTGTATAACATTAGGTAACGCATAGTTCTAATACATTAGTATACTGCTGAAAATCTTTTCTCTTTCACTCCTTTCTTCCCAGTCACCTTCCACATAAGCTAATTTCACATCAAAATAGTACTTAGGAATTGCTGCTGAGTTCACTGTATTATAGCACCAGGAGCCTGAAGCCTCCTACGTCTTTTTTCTCGTATTCTAAGTGATGGAATGTGCAGAGGAGGTGTGTTTTGTTTATTTTCCTCTGTCCAAAACTCTCCTTCAAACTAGTTAAAACCAGGGTTGGACTTGAGTCATCTGTATTGTAAAGAGGGAAAAATAATTCTTCCACTGAGCT